ATAATATTCGAGAACAATAACTTCAATTTTTATGATTTTGTTTGATAATATTTTTATTTTCTGTTTAAAACATGAAAAATACAATATGACCAATCGTTTTGTGATAAAAAAAAACTTATTAAGACTGATTAGTTTTATAATGACTTCTGCCTCACAATAATCTGCGGAGGTTCTACAATCCTTTTTGCTCGATTGTATTCTTGTATTATGATATTTGTTGTTACAGTGTGAAAACACATTTCAGCACGTCAGATTACTTCAACCAGTTCCTTGAATTCAATATTTGTTTTTCAGAGAAAGAACAAAAACTCAAAGAAATAAAAGAAAAATTGGAACGTGACATCGAGGAAAAGATGAAAGAACAAGAGGCTGCAGTTGCAGAAAAGAAGGAAAAGCTTGAAAAATGTAAAAAAGAAAACCCTGCTGGAAAAGGAAATGGAAAATCTCCTCACGAAAGATGTGGAGATGAAAGTGGTAAACACATACAATGGATTATGTCGTTGGAATACAATTTTTTTCTTGCAAAAAATGTTTACTTCTTTTAGCATTAGAATACTCTTAATTACTATTATTTTCATCTATTAATGATATAAGTAAGTTTTATGACTATATGGGCTGATCTGATTTATACAGAAAAGTCAGTAACTTTTGAAAAATATCTTTGAAGTCTGCATTTTATTGCTCATCTCACTGCGCTCATGACAATTTTTGTGATGCTATGTATAATTTTGTTTTTCATTCATCTAAATTCAGATACAAACAAGCAGGTGGAAGAAGCAATGAAAAATGTTTATGAGAAGTTGAAAAAAGCAAAGACTGAAGGAGGTTTGAATTTTATATAATTTAATTACAATAAAAACGGAAAAATTCTTAATGGCATAATATTTCAATTTAGATTTAAAGACTGCTGCTCTTAAACATGCCGAACTAACAGCTGTGGCTAAGTTTGTAGAAAAAGTTGATAAAATTTTGGAATCTGAACAAGACACAGAAAAAGGTCAGTTTCTGTTTAATATGTTAAAAATTTCGTAGTTTTTTATTACTTTTCATTAAACAATTATACAAAATTATATATTGTTTCTTTAGACAAAATTATAATGAGCCCATCCGACAAAGAAGAAATGAGAAACAAACTAGTTGAAGAAATGAAAAATAGCGGCATCGTACCAGTCGTTGAAAACAAAGCTGCAATGGGTAAGTTGGTCAGTGATTAAGTTTTCAAATTATATGTTTTTTCATACTAAAAGTTACATTTTCGACTGAAATAGATGCTGTGAAGCATATTGAGGTGCCGACCGAAACGTTGAAGAACATTTTACAACGCAAAGTCGTTAAAGATATTACACAAAGACTTGTTGAACTTGACGAAATTATCGGAAAGAAAGTTTTAAAACATGCGAAATCAAGTGAGAGTAAGTACAAGTTTAATGGAATATATTTATACAAAATAGTGAGAATTAGAAAAATAACATTTGTTTCTGCACCAACAGAAAAATGCTCAATATCGGAATTAAAGTGCAGTCACGATTGCAACAAACTGACCAAGAAATGTATTTGCTACGAGGGAATGACTCTTGTTAACGGAAGACAATGTGTATTGAAGAAAAGTAATATATAATTGTCCTTTTTAAAATCTTATGACTTTGCTATAATGTTTCTTAATGAGTGACTCAATAATACTATGCCTACGTATGAATGTGTATGTGCATATTTATATATCTTTATTCTGTATAATATAACATACAGTTATTGAAATTTTCAGTCAAAGAATACATTGAAGTTGTATTTTTGATTGAAGGATTTTACATTCGGTGAAATTTAATTTGTCTTTTTCTCATAGACATTACAGATGGAACGGATGTCTCAAAGTTTCCTCAAGAAATTTCTCTTTCTTTGATGTTACGAAAGGAAAATAAAGAATATCTTTCAGTAATGAAGGAAAATATTCCAACAAATAAATCTGAGGATGAGAAGAATGTAGAAGGTAAATGATTTGTTATATCAGATATCTGATTCAGGTATCATTCAATCATAATATTTGTGTTCACCTTATTCAGAATCAATAGCAAGTTTAGAAAAGAAGGGATTACCCTTGGATGATCTAATTACTGCCCTCGTACAAAAAAAGAAACTTGAAGTGACGAAGGTTTATGAAGCTGATTCTGACGATGGTGAAACCGAAGATCAAACATACAACAAAGAATATGAGGTATTGAAAAGAGCAAAGGAATATCAAGAAGCTGATTCTTTACAGAAATTATCAATGAAACGTAAAACATTTGAAAATCTCATTGATACAATGAAAAAAACCGACGAAGGTATATTAGAAAATTTAATTTCTATTTCGAAATTGCTTTCAAACATGTCACAAATTAGCCTTTAAATTGTTTTTCTGTTTTCCTGAATCAGATGCTGATGATAAAATTAGTGAAAATGTCGGAGACATATTGAAACATATTGCTGATACAAAAATTGATACAAAATTGATAGAACTTTCTGAATCACTCGATAAAAGTATAATGACTGATTCTGACATCTCTACTAGTCTTAAGCTTTTGTCCAAGATGGGAAAGATGAGGGATTTGGTTGAAGATTCCTCTAAAGAAGTTGAGGCATTGTTTGATATTGAAAAGGTTATCAAAGTTGAGAGTGAGTTGACTATAGTTTTATTTTCATAAAAGTGAAATGGCGTCTTAGTACATAATATATATTTTAAAATTAATATTGTTTCATAGAAAAAAATACAGAACTAAAAGAAATACTGGAGAAAGATCTAAAGGACTTATTCGATATGGAGAATCTTAATAATGAAGACGAACTTACTAATTTGGATTCTTGTGTTTTGATGGAAGATAGTGAAAAAGACTTACATAGAAAAGATGATGATAAAGTTGTCTGTGATCCAAAGAAGGGTATATGATTAGATTGGTATCTTGGAGTTTTCAAGCAATAAAGATTTCATATACTATTTAATTTATTGTTTCTTCCAGAAACCAGTAAAGACAAGACCTTGAAGAAAGCTGAAGAACAACTAAGGAATGAATTCAAAAATCAATTTGAAAAATTAACAAATGGCAATAAAACTGATGGTACGAGTTCTTTATTCATTGTTATGCTCTAAGACCATTTATATTAACTTTATGTAATGAAAATAACTGAAAATGATTAGAGGTTTATTTATCCAATTCAACAACTTTAGTTGTATGTTCTCTTGCAGGAATAAAATCACTGTTGAAAAGTCAATTGCGTCTCAAAGCCGTGTCTGATATTTTGAAGCGTACAGATTTAATTTTGGATATGACAAAAAAAGCTACAAAACCTAGCACTGAAGTACCCAGTATTCCAGGTAATATAGTATTCTGCCATATTTTCCATTGGGAAATATCTGATTTGCAACTATTCATTTATTTTTAACTCATTGGTCATAAACAATATATTTTGCAGAACATGTAGAAAAAGGTATTGTGAAAAGATATATATTGAATGAAATGAAAGACAATGATGAAGAAGTGGATTCGGAAGAGCAAGAAGGTATGATGGAGTATGTTTATTGTTTTTGTAGGATAGGATAGGATTTACATATTTATCCTAGGGAAGAGAAAAACCAATAATACGGTTTAATCATATGACGAACCACGGCCTCTCGTCCGGTTATCAGTCCATGTAAGGTATGGGATTAGTTAGCCAGTTATTTGTTTTCAGATGCATGGACTTCGTGGATTGCATGGACTGTATCATATTTTGGTTAATCGGTGGGAAATACTACTATATATGAATTGCAACAATGTAATTATGTGATCGTAATTTTTCATATAAAAGATGAAAATTTTAAATTTGACATTTACTCTAACAGAGATAGCAAAGGAATTAATAATATCAATGGATACATTGTCCAACATGATTCGCCGAAGATCTGTCAACTCACAGGAGAAAACCCTTGCTGCTCTAAGAGAAAAAATGAAAGATAAAATCAAGAAAAATGCAAAAGCACATAAAGGTATTGTATTAATATTGCTTTGAACAACATGCGCCTAAGTTCCAGTAACAATATTAATGTACATTTGTATATTCATATAATACAATTTATATATTGAAAACAGAATCAGTTTTTTTTAACATCATATGGGTCATGCGGTTTCCCTGGCATTGAAACTGAATCAAATCATGTCGTAGAAGTTTTTGTCATGTATTGAGTTCTTTCCAATGTGTTCTAATTATTAATATTCTGAATATAACTTGAAAAAGCAACTTAGTCTAACTACGTGAATCACCTTCGATGACCTAAATGCTAATCTCAATCTATCTTAAGCATTTAAGAAATTTGTTTTAATTTCCGAAGGTAATTGTAAGATTACCGAATTAAAATGCTCCTCTGATTGTGATAAACTGAGAAGAATATGCATTTGCAATGGTGGAATGATTCTTGATGCAGACAATCGTACATGTATACCAGCAACCGAGCAAGGTATGCTTTGTTTGCATTATTAATTTTGATTTGATTTATGCTCTTATGTACCATGGACCATGGTATAAACCAGGGGTGTGCAAACCGAGGCCCGCGGGCCAAATGCGGCCAGCAAAGAAGAATTGTGCGGCCCGCGGAAAAGTGCTAATTTTGAAGCATGTGCCCTCGAAACTAGTTTTTAGTTTTAATAATCTGGAACGTGTGTGCAAATCAACCTCTTTGCATCCCGAAGCCTATACCAGTAACCGAGTGCCACTGCCATATCAGTGAAACAAGCTAGCAAGATCCTGATGGAAAATACACAATGTTATAAAAGAGTGTTCATTTTTAACTGAATTCGTTCAGAATCGGTGTGACAACAAATTCAAATAGCAGTTTTCTTTAGAAATTTTTACGTTCCAATTCAACATTTTTTCTAGAACCCCGAACAATGCCGTAAGATCGATAACCAAAAAGAAACTATTTTTTGTGCTTGCAACTACAGTAGACTCTATTTAGGAAAGGCTTCAAATACGAAAAATCCAACTTACGAAAATAATTTATATTTCATATATAATATATATTTCATCTACTAACGTAAGATTTTCTACATACGTAAGGCCGAAAACAAAAAACGCGTGTAGTGATATTTGTTTATTTTAGGTTAATTTAATGAAGTGGTTATAGCAGGGATGTCCAATTAGAATTTATTATTCGAATATAATTTTATGTGTCTGTAAGAATACCGAATTCCTAGAGCCATCGTCAACATTTTGATTTAAAACATTTCACAATTATTTCATATTTTCATGTGCGTTTGCTCGTTTTCGCACATTACGTTCTCTCTCAGATTTCAACATTTAACATCTTTTCCGACCGCCGTCCTACACTCTCCACGGTCTTCGCTAAGCCTCCCTAGTAAATATTATGTCCGAGTTTTGTGAGAGCTTGGAATGGATTAATGCATTTTCATTCATGCGTCCGTACTTACGGAATTTTCTACTTACAATAGGGGTAGGAACAAATTAATTTCGTTCCGATTACGGAAACTCCTTCACAAGTAGAAAATTCTTTTTTAAGGTACACATGGTAAAAAGAAATAACAGGGAAATACCGAATAGATAATGCAAATTTTTCGTATCCAGCGGCTTTCGTAGGTAGAGTTTCTAGGTGCGGATCGCGGCTTCACCGAGTTACTTACTGTAATTGGCCCGCCAGTAAAAAAGGTTGCACACCCTCGGTATAAACGACACATTTTTAATGTAATGAATTAAACATGGCCATTATGTACCTTTCGATATCTATATACAGTATACTCAAACTAATATTTTTTTATCAGCAAATTTGCGTGACTTTGGAATAATGTTCCACATATATTATGAAAACTTGATTGATCTGCTTTAATCATATAAAAAAACTTATTTTCATTTGCAGAAATTTTATCCGCCAAAACTAAAGCTCCACAAGATGTACTTTATGCAGCTCTCTTACTCACTGAAGAAAGTAACAAATTAACGACACTGAAACAATCAATTCCCAAAGCTTTGAGCAAAATAGAAAAAAAAGCAGAAGGTAAAATAATATGACTATTAAAAAGTTCAATTTTTCAAGTCAAGTCCTAAATTTTAAAAAAGAATTTTTGGCGTGGGAATTACTTTTCCTGTCTATTTTCATACCAGTTTTCCTTTCGAAAAACTTTGCGATTTTCATAAGAGTGATTCTGCTTCTTAGAAAGCTTGTTTGTTATATTTGCTTTTGACTGTTCAAAGCTGATATTCATTCATTCATGAAATATGAAGTCTCAGCCAAACAGGTTTTCAAAGTGATAAATATTCCAATTTCACCTATACAGTTCATTTGCTAATTACTAGCAGATTCAAAAATGACTATGGTAGTCACCAATCACCATGGATTGTAAATTATTTGAAAATCAAATTGGAAAGACAGAATAGCTACCCATCTTAATATTTCATCTGGTATCAGACAAGATAATGTGACTTACCATATTATTAGCTTTCAATTCTACCAGAATTCACGAAAAATCTTATCATTTTCATAGAAATGTTGGCTATTGCTGCTAAAAATGGTGCAAACCCTGACAAGGTCTTATACTCACTAATCAAACAAAAACTGAAGGAAGCTGCCGAATATTTTATTGATGAAGAAGAAGGAAAGCCAGATGAAACTGGGAGTGGCATGTCACCAGAACATGATGGAGAAAATGAAATAGTCGACGATGAAGTAGTCAAGAATGGAGAAGAATTTTATAATGCAATTTCATTGAAGAAACTAATAAAAAATACAAAAGACCTCAACGAACTTGTGGAAGTTGTATCGGAATCTTCGGAAGGTAAATAGAAAATATTCAAAATGTCAATATAATGTAAGAGGTCGTTGAACGAAAAATTCATGAAAAGAGTTGCATTATGAATACAAGCTGATTGATAGTAAATTAATGAATTTGAACTTATTCTAAGAGATTAAATCTCTGAGAGGAATCTATGAATTTTTGTTAACATCTGACAAAGCGTTGCAAGCTGATTTCACTGGGAAGCGTACCATAATCTAGAAAGCTTTTGAATATTTATTTTGTCATAATTGCTGACAATCATAGTTTCATATTTCTCAAGAAAATAATAGTATAAGCGCGTTTCAAAAGTGCGTTTGCATGATTGTTCAATTTTTCTATTATTGTAACAGATGAGAAGGATGACAAACTAGCTGCAAAAGTACTTGCCCACATTGCCCGGTCCAAAGTGGAAAATGAAGCTGAAAAACTAAGATATGAAATGAAAAAGAGTAAGCTTATTCTTATCTGTAAATTATATCATGTCCTTGTGTGCAACACAGAAAATACTGACGTTTTTAATATGTGCAATTTTTCTATATTCTTTATCTACTCCATGGAATATACTCTTCTACTACATATCTCTCTCAATCATATGTTGTATCATATAGATTACTATACACATTCAGTTTAATGGACTCACTCGGGTGTACTTTAATCCAAGAGTATATTTCCAATTTTCATGCCGCAACAACTGTACCGCTTTACCAAAGTATTGTGAAAGCCGTCTATGGCCAATTTTACAATCATTCCTTAATAATGTTGACCATTGGAAGTAATTGTGGAGAAAAAACATTTCGTTAAAATGCGCAAGATAATTTGTAGTTTGATATATATTTCTAGAGAATAAAACATTGGCAATGTATAAAATACAAGACGTTCTTCATGTACATAAAGACCACCCACAATTTTGTCACATCTTATCTCATCCATACATCTTTAACCCTATTTTACCTATATCTATCAAAAATGTATAATAACGTTGTTCAACTTTGTAAATTGTGTGATTATGCAATTATTTTTGTTAACGCTAGACTAAAGTTCACATACATTGTATTTCAGAACCGAATGAAACAAAAGTTACTGATTTGACAATGTTGACACAAATTGCATCCATGAATCATTTCACTGCGCAAGTGAAGCAAGTGATGAAAGAAAAAATGAATCCATCTGAGGAAGATATTGAAAGTAAGAATATTTTACTGAAATTTTATTACTGAAAATGTAACAGCAAAACGTTTAAAACAAAATATACTTGTTTTTATATAAAGTCTTGATCACCTATGCAGCAATGAGAATACAGAACAACTTTTTATCATACACTTACAGCTGAAATATATATGTTTTAGATTGGTATAACAATGGGCTCTTTTGAAAATATTATAGCGTATATGTACCGCTCAATACTTATCACCTCTATCCATGCATAAAATATAAAACTAACATAACTATCTTTGATTTGTTTGGTTACTTTTAATTTCATTAATAAAACACCTCTTTCTAGTCTTTGCTGATAACCTCCTCAAAAAGAAGAAACGAGAAGATAAAATTATGCGAGAGCTAGAAGAGCAGAATCCAGTCATAGAGGATGAGACACCATCTGACAAGGATAAGACAGATAAGCTTGGTGTGTTCAACGCTTAACAATTTTTGAATCAAAACAGTTTGAGAATTTTGCAAAACGGCATAGTCATTTTGTTATGCTTATTTCATCTTACATATTCAATAGATGAAATTGAGCGGGAAAATAATGATGAAGAATTGTCTGAAATTGAAAGGAAAATGGATGAGATTGCACAGAAAAACAAAGAGAAGAAAATGAAGCTGGCCGCATGTGTGAAATCACCAGAAGATAGAGATTGTGTTGATATTGACTGTAAGTTATTTGAATACAGGGATATTTGCTTTTATATTTTGTATATAGTTAACATCAGACACAGACGCAAAATTTCATAAAATTCATTTCAAAGGTCGAAGATGTATAGAAATATCACTGGTATTAATGTTTTCAGCTTTACTTTTTGTAAGCATAGTCCAGAAACGGCAAGGAAATAGGTATGTAAAATGTATGAAAAAAATTAAAGTGTTACAAACTAGACATTTTCTAATTCAGTCAATCATAAATTTTCATTTCATTATACAGTAGCAAGACCTGAAGAAGATTTTGAAATTGACGACATCATGACTGAAGTCTTCAAAAACATGAAAGAAAAAATGAAAAAAGAAGAAGGTAATGTGGCACCTATTATCAAGCGTTCTAAGTGCAATTAGCAATCAGATTTGAGAGAACTTCAAATTAGATCTGCTCATGAATAAGCTACAAGCACAAAATTCAAGCTTAAAGATTTAGATCAACTACTATTAAAATACCAATGCTGCAAATAGTTATCTGTTTTCTGTGAACACTAAAAGCAATTGATAATTAGTAATGTGAATGTAGAACGAATTAGTATTGACAAAATACTTTTTTGCTTAACATTCACATTCATTAGGTGAAAATCAGCAAGACGTAGGCATTTCTACTGCTCTGTAGAGATATATATTCGCCAATGTGGAGATTATAACTTTCATGTTTTCGATAAAATGAAAAAATTTATGTCGTGGAATCTTTGTTTCAAATTGTTACCGTGTGATTTAACAAATTATGTTATAGATTTTTTTCATTAATATCCAACTTGAGAAACTTGTTTCGGACAGATTCGAGTGTGTTACACATTATTTTCAGTATGAGGTATATTCCAAAGTGTTTAGTGCTTAATTTTAATGAACAACTTTCAGATAAAAAGATTCAATTAAAAGTAGTAATGAAATGATGTCTAAATAAATTTTTTCTTTATTACGCTGCTCCCCTTTCATATTTATTTTATCTATATTAAGTTCAAGAAATATGCATATTTCTCATAAATTTCAGGTGCAGAAAAGAGTGAGAACTTGATTGATCAAATAAGTAAATTGCTCGCTGTGAAAGATGAAGTAGAGACACTTGAAGAAATCATAAATGATCAAGCTCAGCAGAAAGATGGTATAGTGTTTTTTGTTTATGTTGGTTTCAGAAATGATGGCTTTCAACCTGATGTAATTTTTTTTCTTATACAAATTTTATTTTTATTTTCGTGTACTTTGGACGGCCCTGTACAAGTAGAAAATGATATGCGAAGAGCAACCATTTTCAATTACTTTATGGTGGTGGTCATGGTATTCAAATTCGAGTGTGTAACCTGTGATGCCAACACAGTTAAAGTTTAATGGTTTTACCACTAATGGAATATATATATAATTGTTAGCTACTTTTTTATTGTATGATTCAATTTTTTCACAAGATATGGAACAACCTACAAAAGAAGAAGTAGAAAAAATAAAAATGTCATTGAAGAAAATTGCGAAATCAATTGCTGATAGTTTACCTGAACAACCAGTTCAAGCTGACGAAAAAATTGAAGGTTATTATCGATATTTTTATTATTCATATTCAAATTTGAAGAGAATAATAATAACTCAAAACTTTTTATCAAATTTATGTCTGAAAACACTGCTTGCAAGCTATGTGTTACATACTTATAAAACATATGATTAATCCAATGAATAATTCTGGATAATGAAATATTGTACCATGTTTTCAGATATTGTTGAGGGTTTGGAAAATCTTCCAACTTCAACTTTAGAAAATATTGTGAAACGTCACTTATCAGGCAATATTCAGAATCAGCTGAAAAAATTAAAGAAAACTTTGCAAGATAAATTTATCAACCATGCCAAAGGAAAAGGTTGGTTTGACTGGAATTCTCTATATCTAAAAAACAGGAGTTTTCTACTGGGTGTAAGTTACCCCTTGAGAATAAACTTGAGGGTGAATTGATGAAATGGCTACTTGACTTTTGGAGTGAATAAACATTTTATAAGCAAGATTTTGTTTTATCTAATAACATGGTTTTGACAATTGCCCCTAATTTTTCGTCTTGTGCGAGCTAGGTCACATTGGCTTGAACTTTCGTTTTACCAATTTGTTTTCATTTTTGCATACAAAGATCTGTGAAACCATGTGGGTCTATCTCCTGTTAGGAAAAACTTGTTTAGAGGAATAACAGCAATTTTGAGATAATTTGATAACAGGTGAAAACAGAATAAAAGTGGAAAACCCCTGTATTGAAAAATTAAATTGCCAATTGAAATAGAAACATGAATGTAGACTTTTGTATGTCACATTCTAGCATTTTTGTGCAACACAGATTTAGTCGCATTCAGATAATTGTGATGTCACATGTGACTTGAATTGCCATCATTTTGTATTCGGTATTTTGTTTGCACTACTTTTACCTGTACTTTATTCCGTGCTAGGGTTTAGTCACTAGTGCTAAAGATCAAGCAACAATTTTTCTCCTTCCGTTTTGTATTTATTCTATTCTCACGAGAGAGCGACGGCATCCATAATACTGTACACTATAAGTGTTTTTGTTGCAAAATTGGTCAATGTATCTCATTAAAATTTTGTCAGGGATTTTGTCTGTCCAGATATTGTAACCAAATACTAAATACCAATTATGATACATTCATACCACAGTGCTTTGAATGGCTTGAAATTGTCAAAAAGGATTCACTCTCGACCTGTAGCATATCATAGTATTTAATAAAAACAAATGCATTGGATTCAATGATAGGTAGTAAAAAATTTTCTTTTCATAAACACTCTCTTCTCATAAAAGATGTTTTTATCTTTAGAACAAAGATGCGAGTATAATGCTGATGGTAAAATGAAATGTGCATGTTTAGAAGGATATGGACAGATGGAAAAGAATCATATGGAGTCATGTCATCTTCTGAAAGGTAATTTATTCCATCATATTGTAATTGTACTTTTCTGTTTTTTTTTATAATATTACATATAACATAATGTATGCCTATATTTGATATATACATGCAATCTTATAATCCTTTTGATCAAGGAGATAACTACCAATTCATCATTAAAAATCGTAAAAAACCTGTTAGATTCCTATTTATTTCACAAATACCGAAAGTTTCTTGAAATGCATTTTTGTATAATAGGTGTAGATTCAATGTAGTGAATAATATTAATTTGATCACACTTTTAATATCCAGAAATACCATCTGAAATAACCGATTCACTCAGAGAGTTGCCTTTTGCAATGAGTATACTAACTTACTCCAAATTGAAGAAAAAGTCGGATGATATGAAGAAAATTGTACCAGAAGATATATCAGAAGAAGAATATGAAGTTGAAAGTAGGAGATTTTAATTTGAATACAATTTTAATTTGAAATTATAGACAAAATTTAGACATTTGATGGTAAAATTTGACCATTGGGCATAGTTTCCTGATGGCCATGAGTACCTCCATTTTGTACACTACTTGAAACACGGTGAACAAAAGTAGGAATGTTTAAGCGTAATAATGGATGGATACAAATTTTTTTTTCATTTTCAAATTCTGAAAGCATCTAGTGATTGGTGAAATTTTCTGTTAGCAATAAATAACAGATATCTTCATCTTCATTCAAGCAAAGTTAATAAAAAATAATTCAAATTCTAACTTTTTATATCAGGAAATATGCTAATGAATGCAGTCTCCAATGAAGAGGCGGCAAAAGTCCTCCAATTTGCATTGAGTGAAAGATTGAAGAAAACTGCAGATGTTTTAGAAGCTGAACTTGGTATGCTATCAGTTGTTTATAATTGAAATTAAGAAATAAATGTTAATTTTCATTAAACTTCAAACTACACTACCATTTGTATCCCAAAAATTATTTTAAGTGTTGGGTTTTAAGTATGAGAAATAGGCTGGCAGAATCGAATAATTGGAATACAATAGCCTTTTTTGTGTTTCTTGTTGGTTATTGAGAGTTGCATTGTTGTTTTGTCCTCGAAATTAATTAATAGAATGTATAGAATGCAGAACCAAATTTGTGGAATATTTTGTGAAATTAGTTATTAGAGTAAATATTGGTTTGCTATAAATTATTTGAATAATTATCATTATTGTAATTATTATCTTTTAGAACCACAAACTGAAAATAATGTTGGGGTTGAACAAAGTGCTGATGAATTTTTACAAATTCTTTCTCTTTTGAATCGCATTGATGAAGACAGTTCAATTGAAAAGATGGTAGAAGTGATTCAGAAAGGTACCGGTAACTTTTCATAGATAGAAAAATATGCTGATTCAACATGAATTAAAAATAAAAAATAAACAAATTCTGAAAAGAGTATTAATATGAAATACTATTTTACCACTCTTTAGAACCTGATGCTAAAGCCAGCTTGGAACAAGTGATAACATTGAAAAAGATAAAAATCAGCAAAGCAATAGAAAAGCTGAATGAACTCGATGGTCAGTATTTTTGTTAATTTCCATCAGGATAGTATAAGACAGGATTTACATATTTATCCTGGGGAAGAGGAAAGCCGATAAGATGGCCTTATCATATGGCGAACCACGACCTCTCGTTCGGTTACCAGTCCATGTCGGGTATGTGATTAGTTAGTGAGTTATTTGATTTTGGAAGCATGGACTTAATGGTGGAGGAAGCCGTAACCGAATAGCGGTTACGCGAACCACCCTACGGCGGCGAGGATTCCAGCAATCACGACTATCCCTGCATGGGATTCGAACCTGTGAATTCACGCAGGGTCAGAGGTGCGGTGGTGAGCTCATTCCTAACGCTTAGCATGATGTGCCACGCCGCCGAGCCATTCACTTGTCCCTGTGTCATCCTCAGGACAACATTTTGAGCAGTTTAATGTCATGGAAGAAGTTTGTCACACACTGTGCTCCAAATTCATACGGACATTACATCAAATGTTTCCAAACTTTTTAACAGTTGCAATGCATTAGGGTGGGATTAGGGTTCATTGCACAACTGGCCCTCTTTCAATAAATATGGAAAATGCATATAAAACAATTAACTAGGATGGGATTTACATATTTATCCCGAGGGAGAGGAAAGTGGATAAGATGGCTTAAACATACGGCACACCATACGGCACACCACGGCAGAATAATCATAAAATAATTTTTTTGTTTCCAAAATATTTATAATTTGTAGAGTGACAGATTATGTTAATCAAAAATTCACTATTGGCTTAAAAAAAATAAACGTACTTGATTTTTTGCGTTATTGTTGATCTACAATTGTTTCTAACCTATAGTAAATTCAAAAAAATTTGCACGTAAATATAATGTTTACGGTATATGATTTCTAACCTGCAGAAATTGAAGGAAGTGGTGATAGCAAACCCAAAGGTCTTCATCATGTGCTTTCGGTACTTAAACTGACAAAACGAGTCAAGGATTTGAAAGAAGAAACTGAAATCTTGGAAGAAACTTCTCCAGATACAGGTAAATTGTACAAATAAAATTCATTTTCTATTGCTCTAAATGAAATCAGAACTACACAGCTATTTCAAATTTTAAAGAACTTTTTAAAGTTTTCTGGTTTTCTGAAAGCCAGGATATAAATGTCTGTAAGTGGAAAGAGTGAAAAAGAGTAGTACCAGAAAACATTTAAGTACAAAGCACTATACAAAGATTTATCTTGGCAATAAAATGTGTTAGATATTGAATAGCGCGAAACAATTTAAATATAAACTGTCATCGATGAAATTCTGTAAAAAGTTCCGAAAATTGATCAATAAAATGTCAAGTGTTAACCTATGGGTTTGGAGGTTTAAATAAAACAGACAATCTGATCATTACGATGTCTAGATTGAAACGAGTTTTCATCAATGCTTTCTTGCTTCTAAGTATCAGACTTAATATATCCATTTCATGAAATCTCATGATATGCTGAAGCTGAATAGCCAATGGTTTGACTTTTTGTGAACAATGAGTAAACAATACAGCGCATCTTCACCCAAGCAAAACTGATAAAATTAATTCAAATTCATGCCATAAAATCTGCTAATTAAGACAGTAGTAGCAAGAGTTTTAAACCAATACCACCTGATGTAACAAATTTTGCGCAAGAGTATGTTCTACCAAAGGCTATTGAATGTGTTTGAGTTTATTTGATTTTTCTGTATTAATCCAGGATACTGTGAATGGTAGTGTGCGGAAGTGACACCTAATGTCTCTTATAGACCAACATACAATACAGGCTAATTTTCTGTAATACAGTTGTTCCAATCATCTAATATTGTGAATACAAACAATAATGTTTAGTACTGAACGACAATGAATGCATTGAATATTTTGATATTTAGATACACCAATATCTGATGATAATGAAGATGAAAAATCAACTGATTTACCAGATGATAACGAAGATAAAGATGAAAAATCTTCTTCCAATGAAGAAACTAAGGATGAATGCAATCACAGTCAGTTCTTAATTTTGACCATTTTTAGGATAGGATTTACTTATTTATTTTGGGGGAGAGGAAATCCTATGAAAAGGCTTATTCATATGACAAACCACAGCCTTTCGTCTGGTTACCAGTCCATGTGGGGTATGGGATTAATTAGCCAGTTATTTGTTTGAAAATACATGGACTTGATGATGGATAAAGCCGCCTTAACCGACCAGCGGTTATGTGTGAACCAGGCTGTGGCGGCGAGGAGTCCAGCAATCTTATTGCACATAATTTGATTTTTCCATAACGAAAAATAAACAATATAATTGCTTTATTTCAACAGAAGCTTTAAATGATTCTTGTGAAGGACTGAGTGGCATGCAGCTTACTATGATGAGAGACTGGATCAAATCATACAAAGTTTGGATAAAGATCTACAACGAGAAATATTATGAAGGACAACATTACTCTTGTGGTAAGAGTTCAAATGTACATTGAAATAAAATTAATCAAAATATGCATTTAGAATTTGATTTGAACAAATTAAATATATCTACAAATATTTCAGCAGATTTTTTTGGCACTCCAGAAGTGTGTGTACCAATATGGATATAACTAATTTTGTTCGACTATTTTAAAGACTTCAATAATCATAAGGTTTTTTTGTTTATTACATCATGTGTCCCCACTAAGATGTTTCACAGTTTTCTTTACCAATAATGAACATTGCCGCAATATGAACGGCCTATTTCATCTCAAACTTTGGTTGACTGGTTACAAGAGGAGAAGCCATGTTCAGTTTATATTATACTGCTTCTATCTCGCTACTCGCTTCTATCTTGAAATATACATAAAATACTGCCCAACCACAAGTATCAGTGACTCACTGTTATTTTGACAGAATGTGACTCAACATTGGCACATAAATACGATGAATTTGACTGGGTTTTCAAACAAAGAAAGAGCAATAAACGTGCTTTGAAGCCTGGAGAAAAGACAGATGAATGTGTTGGAAGTAAGATACATTTTTGCTCTTATTATTAAGTTCTGGAAAATCTGCTGTTCATGTATCAATAGACAAGACAGAATGGTATTACAATATATTTCAAGTTCAACACAATCAAGTTGAATATGTGTATTGAAAAATTTTCAATAGTCATATGATTCGGTCTGTGAAAGGCATTGTTGAATAAATCCAAAATTCACTATCTCCACTCCCCCTGTATGATAGGAATTATCAGTGGAGGTAGAAAGGAAAGGCAATGACAATGAGATTGCTCAATAATATGGCAAACCATGGCCACGCCTCCGGTTACCAGTCCATATCGAGTATGGAATTAGTTAGCTAGTTATTTGTTTCAGATGCACGGACTTGATGGTGTATGAAGCCTTAACTGTGGTTAAACTTACTACCCTGTTTATGTATTGCTTTGGTGGAATTCTAATACATGGCAATATTGACTCGAATAGTATCAACTGTTATTTCGGTCACAAGGCTGAACCCATACTCAGCTTTCAGCACAAGCATCTTTTGCCCAAATTTCATACCAGTATCATGCTACTTTATTTCAGTTCCAGGACCTTGCTTTGGCCAAACTTTTAAAAAAATTTAACCAATGAATATTTTCATTTGTCATTTGCATAAAATATTAATACTAAAAACAGCAAAAGAACAGAAACAGAGATTGATGAAATGGATGGCCGAATATGAAAAATGGCGAAATAATGCGATGGAAACATGGAATGTCAGAAAACCACAGGAAGAGCCTAAGAAAGGTGGAATATAATCTTCAAATATACTAACACTAAGATTCCCTAATACCTTGATACTTAAAGTTACCCGATATCAGATTTCAACAGTTCAATGTACCATTAATAGGCGCTCCAGAAGTATGTGTTAACTAATTTTGTTCACCTACTTTACATCAAGTTGTGTAAAGGGACAGAAGCCTATGGGCAAGGGGGTATATTCACTTGTCTAACACAGACAGTCCCTGAACTCCTAATATGACTAAAATAAGTAAAATCGGAATAAAATTATGGCCTAGCCCTAACCTGGTACACATACTGACATACTGCAGGAGTACCCATTAATGGGCTAAAAAGTAAAAATAGACATAACAACATGCCAGAAAATAGACAAGTGGTTTGCAAATGACTTCTGGGAGAGTTTTTATAGAAATTTGTGATTTGTTTGTATAAATTGAAACCTTGAAAACAATTTTCGGTGTATCTCTCTAAAAAATAACCTCAAACGTAGGTCGTTTTATCTGAATAGAAACAGATAATTGCACAATGTTCCTCTGTGAAGAAGAAAAGGCATGAATTATGCCAAGTTAGGCAATCTTAGCTAAACTTGAGTCATTACAATTTTCATATTGAGAAATTACTTGAATATCAGATAAAGATGAAAACTGCAGTCATTGGAAAAAATATGCAGATAGTTTGAAAGAAACCAAAAAGTATTCTTCGAAGGACAAAACCAATGAAGGTGAAAAGAAATGCAGTGCAAATGGTGAGGATAACATACACTGTGAAATGGCAAACTGATGTCTTACTGTTATTCCATGCTTGTTGATGATTTTTTTTTTTAGAATACAACTAAATTATTGTAATCAATACACTTTTGTGTTCACCAAGGAATATTTCGATAATAATGTGGTTAATGATTTTATAATTGTCTTTCATAATATAAAGTTTTTTATGAAATTGATGCTACAAATAGACTGGTGATATTTTAGAAAGTGTAATTCATGTGAGAGCAAAATGAAAACATATTATAATCAGAACTTAGGAAGTTTGTTTTCGAACAAGTATGGTTCAAGACTTTCTCGCAAGCCATATTGTAAGAGCTGTAACAATATTGGTTTATTACCTTAAGTTTCGTGATACTGCTATTGCTGACAAATATTTAAATGCATTTTTTCCTTTCAGTTTCTCCAGAACTCAAGATGATGAAAGTGGTAGTGAAGGAAACAATGAAGCGTTATATTCAATATCTTGATGATAATGATGATGAAGCAATATGTCAATAAAGGTAATAGTTTTGTGAAAAATATTGACCTGCAAGATTTCAAGTGGGCGAAATCGGCAATAGAGTTACCGTCTTTTTGATTAGAGAAATATGGTCTCTATTTGCTAGTTAGAACAAATGTTCTATTTGATCATCCAATCTATGGGGAATTTATTCTTTGTGATTTGCATTCTTTACTATATCAGCTTTGAAAATATCATGCATATCGATACCTCATATCAACCAAACCAATTACATGATAAGTTAAGTTGTCACTTTATACCTTCTGAGCAAAATATCCCCCATTTATGTGAATATGTGAATGTTGAGCCTATATTTTAGAAATACCGTGCACATGAATTCTATAATGTACATGAAATTTAAACAATTTCTAATCATGCTCATCATTTTTTCAGAATAAAGAATATAACTACTTACCTACGGACTACGGTATACGACTGTGAACTGTATTACGACTAAGAATTTATCAAAAGCATGAAATGAATGAGCAAAGATGAGACGTAGATCCTCCCTTGAACATTTCACCGTCTTTCTGTTTATTGTTCATTTTATGCTTTTTTATTTTACTATTTTATTTTCTGTTGATTCGTCCTGCACTGTAACCAATCAAACGCATAAATATATAAGCCATCGCAACAACATCGAACACCAGTTGTGCGAATGAGCTAAAAACTATTTGTCTCCTTTCTTTAACATGAGAAACAACATAGAGTTAATATTTGTGGAGGCAAGATTAGGATTTTGTGTGAGCAGACATGATATCTTCGATTTCATAACCAAACTTACATATTCATTTGCATAAGTAAGATACAATTCCAAACTTGGAAGCAGGTGAAACTTCTGTTCACCTTGTATATTTCAACAAAAATATCCATATGCCACCAGGTTGCATTATAGATGGGAGATTTAGGAAGTGCTTGCTCGTTGGCAATTGATTTATTAACAAAGTAAATCAGCTACATGATAGGCTATTTAAATATATTGACACCAGATGCTATGTCAAGTGTAGGTGGATTCAGAGTCCAGCAAGTGTTCCATCCCCCCCAAACCCGGATTGTAGTAAATTGGGTACGCTATGCATAATTTAAAAAAAAGTGGTGATAATAATTGTTGTGTATCAATGCATGTGCCTGTCTAGATCTATACTCAGATTGTAGATGTGGACTACATCTTAGAAGAGTCATAAAACAAGTTTAGAGGTTTCCATATGTAACCAAGATGAAAATTTTTTGCCTCATGTACACAAGGCCATGAAGGGCCATACTGTTTCAGAAACTCAAGCTCATTAAATTTAAAATCAACTGCGATAATTGATATTTCAACAGTGGTATTGACTATATTGATGCCAATATATAAGTTCCTTTACTCCATGATTAAATTCATGACAAAAAAACATCTATTTATTGACATATCATACAACCAATTACAAGCACAATTAATGCACCATCAGCACCTAAGAATAAGACAAAAATTATCAGTTTTTCATAGTTTATTAACCAGTAGTTCAATACACATTTAAACTAGATCTAATCAAATAAACATGCCAAACAATGCTTGCTATAGACAAAACATGAATCTAAATGTAGCCAAAATGCAAAGATTCTAGTCATTTAAAACCCAAAATACCGATATCTACAGAGTAGGTAATTGTTCGAGCCTTGTTCAAAGTGGATCTCAACAAAACATTTTGTTCTAAATAAGAATGTATGCACTAATTATGAATTATATCAATTAAGTATCTTTTAATTATAAAAAGATGTTCGTTATTTTGTTTGTTTTCATTTCATATTATTACAACATACCGGTAAGTGAAAATGAAACATAGAAATGTAAGGCAATGACGTATAAAACATCCATCCACAAGCAATGCGTAAAATAATATACCATCGAAAGGAACTATACAAAGTTATACAAATGAATAGATATATACAAAAGATGAATTTTTAATGTTATATGATGTTTTCTTGTTTAAGCTTTTCTGACTAACATAGGCATTTTTTTCTGAGCATTCATTTCCATCATAAAATTCATCAATGTAATGTCCCAGAACAGCTCTTCATGTGATAAATATTCATGCTCAAAACGGCAATTAATTACTGGAGTATATCACAAATAAGCTTGTATTGTTAACTATAAATGGTGCTTTCAATTAGATACCCTCAGTAGACAAATTACTTGGCCAGTTGGCTCATTAATAAGCTGTCGCCAGACTAAACATTGAAAGTATTTTCAGATATAAAGATCTTCCATACTGTTATTTTGAAGCTTCATGCAGACTAAATATGAGTCGGGAGTCTAATTTTTATACAAGTTATAGCTTGGCAAGGCGGTATTACCAAATGAATGAAGTAGAGAATTGGAAATATTAGAAAATTTGGCTGCACACAATGTATCCAAAAATAAAGCAGAAATGAAGTTATGAATCGGATATCAAAATTTAACTCTATTTCTTACAATTTCATTCATCAGAAAACGACATTTCGTCATGTTTGTTGCAAACTTTGTTACAGACGGAAATTTATAGCAACATGAAATGGAACTTGAGATCCTATTGAATACTTGGCATGTATTTGGGATGTGGTATCTATGTCAGAGAAAAATTTTAACATCCAAAAATTCTTTTCTTTTTTCATGAAAAATACTCTGGGTATTTGAAATGGGTCCCATAGCTTAATTAAGACTTTAGTACACATTTGGAATATTCAATCATACGATAAATGATCAGAAACTGGCAACACTAAAAGAATAAAATGATGCAATAATGAACAAAAAAGTAGAAGGATGATAAATTAATTAAAAGCGTAAGAAAATAAATTTTTGTGGTTTCAAAATATTTGTTATTGTTATTATTACCAATAATTATTAATAACTCGTGAATAAATACAACTCAAACTATCAAACAACACTTCGCATGCAACCCAGGCAAGCAGCAAAATCACCAGCTGTGCCATATAATATCATAAAATCAAGCATTTAATATTGAAAAAGAAATACAATAAATTGAGTACAGAGATTAAATCAGCAATTGAAGGGAGGATTTTGAGATTTCCATTCAAATTATATTGTAATATAATTTAGTATGAATGACACCAAAATATATATTTTCAATGCATTTCATTTTAACATCAACTTCACTATTGAGAAAAATTCAGGCATGGACATAAAAGGCAAACAGAGATATATCCATGACCAGATTTTTCTTGAAATACTAATAACATGTTTAAAAAAATACAATCAAAAAAATGATAACGACGCAAAAAAATTTAAAAGGAAATAATTTTAGTACACTAAAGAAAGAAACAGCAAACACATCCTTTCTCAGATTATCAGCAATCAGATACAATCATCACTCACTCAATCATATGTGAGGTAAAAACCAGTGGCATGAATCTACAACTTTAAATATTATTGCACTCAAGTTATACCTAAATAAATACCTTTATGATAAGGTATTATATAATATAGTCAAATAATAACAACAACAAAAGTGCTCGAGGTGCTACAATGCTAAGATATTACTGATATTGTGTATTTCAAACTATGCCAAACATGAACCATGCTTGAATACGTATGCAATATACATTAGGCCCTGTTACATTTTTTCATGTAATAAATTTTATGAAATCTACTCTTTCATCTATATTTTACAGTATGTATGAATAACACATGAGATTTGAAAACAAGGACCTTGGCTAGCAGATATACCGAGAGTGTAACAAAGAAATGAAAACTTGATGAGCATTAAATAATCAATTGTAACCAATAGCAAGAGACTAATCATTTAGAGTGTGTATTGGCCTGATTGATTACTCCATACACTGTCATGAAACGTGACATACAATCAAATTGTATTGTACCAATAATGAAATATATTGGAAAATTTTCTAAGTGATATCTAGTTGAAGAAATGACAGTGAACTTCCATGAATCCAGATACCATAACCAACCATAAACAAACTGTACATATGTACTCAATGCACCTGTCCCAGTCCCATAATCTATTATAAAAGAAAATCCAACCTAGCCAAGGCCCGGACGCAGTCTTATTCACAATACATTGTCATGGGTGGAAATTCGCTTTCATCATCCAAAGGCAAGTCCTCGGCAAGTTCATGTTCATCTATCATGCCTTTCAATCTCCCTTTGGGTGAGTGTGTGTATCGTACACGTCCAGGCGATGAGTCTGATTTCGAAACATTAGAGAATGTAGAGTCACTACTGCTACTTGCAGAACTACCTGTGCTTCCAGATCTGTCTTTTATTTTTGGAACGGTTTGCTGTCCTCGAGTTGCTTCAGCATAGCTTGATGGTGAGATAGGCGTTGGTGATTGTCTTGTGATAAAACCACTCTCAATATTTAGCCTGTGTTGACGAATGAGAGTGCATTCGCCACCTTCCTCTGTATCCAAATTGTAGATGTATAAATAACCGTCAGTGGAAGCGACAATCACACGTAACAGCTTTTGAATTACGGCCAAAGTGCAAATATTCTTTCTGCATGCTGTTGGTAATTTGACAGTAGCAAAAGCCCTGTCCTGGTTAAGAATATCGGTGACCTGTATTGGAAGGTAGTTGGATGATGTGGTCAGCACTTTATTGAAGTAATCCATCCAAGATGAATCATGCTTGTTGTTGTTAGCAACGTCAGAGGACTGATAGCCGTTTCGTGTTGGTGCAACACTTTGTGGAGATGAGGCAGCAGATGAAAGATCAAGCTTAAATATATGCACAGTTTCTGTGTTACTTGAAGCTGTAAGGAACATTGCATTGCTGCTGAAAGAGAGTGAATTTATGGAAACACATCTCTTAACTCCACGACGAAACTCAAAAAGTTTCTTGCCATCAGGAACTGAAAACACTCTAATTACAGTGCCTTTATCAGAAGCTGTCGCGAGACGACTCGCTTCTTTGTTGAAAGCCATGGCAGCAAGAGGATTGTTGTGAGCATGTATCATGGTGACAGCTTTGAGGTTCGTGACATCAAATATTTGAACTTCTCCTGTATGAGGGCTGCCAGGGTATGCCAAGAGTGAGTTATCACTGCTGGCACTCAAAGCACAAATGCCTTTCAAATTTGAAGGAGTGTCTCGAATGGTATGGAGAACTTTCATATCACGAATGTTGTGCACGTACAAGCTCTCTTCCAAAACAACAACGAGTCGAAGCCTGTTAAGCTTGACAGCGAGAATAGTATTGGAGTAGCTAAAAAAGTATATTTATTAATAGATAAAATGTAGGCAGTGGGCACATTCAAATTCGTAGATTGATAAGTTTAGATGCATCCATCATGGAATTAACAACCTTATTTGACAAAAACCCAGAGAATTCGAATATCTGATCTTAAGCCACATTATTATATTTTTTATTGAGGCTCATTTTCACATAAACCTTGACTAATAATAAGAATAAATCGTAAAACTTTATCTAACCTGTAATTACATATTTCAGTTCCCTTTTTGAAATGGCATACTTTCAGTTTCCTTGGTGAATTCAGACTAACAATAGCAACAAGACTGCTTGAGAAGAGTCTTTCCACCAAGCAGACATCACGAATAGTCCCTTCGTTGTCATGGATCTGGAAGTGAAAATATTCAGTTTGGTACATGAAAAGGGAATGTTCATTAGGAACAAATAGTATATTATAGAAATAGGGCTAGTATCTGCATTTACCTGCTCGAGCCTGTCAACTGAGCTCAAAGAAAAAAGTCTGTAGCCATGACGACTTCCAACAGCGAGTGATGTTGAATCCTGGTTGAAGTTAGCAAACAGCAAATCACTCGCTACACTGTCTGCTTGAATATTAGCCATGATGGAGTTTACATTGAACAGAAATAAACTTAGTCTTCCTATGTAGTATTACAGTATTATCTATTTATACAAATACAGAAATATATTAGCTTATTATGCATTGTTTCAATTTTAAATTGAATTGAGACTAAGTTACACTTAAAATAAAAACAAGCGTGTACCTGTAGACAGGTAGATGTTTTGTGTTTAAGATCTGAAGATGGAAATCCATAATTAATTTTCTGACACACTTATATCCCAGTATCCAGAAATCTATTTTTATGATGATACAAATTATATATAGTCTGTCCAGTTCATTATATATCAACATTCAGTCATTTGCCGATTGGATTAAAAACCAATATCCAGATTTCAAAAGCAAATCGTGAAACTATGAAACAAGCAAATACTTACTGCTGTACTAACTTATAAAAACAAATAATTGAATAGAATGTAACTGGAAAACAACATGCCCTACTGAATACAGGAATATAAAACAAAAAAGCCACCAACTGGAAATTGAATTGGCAGTGGTACATGCTTGGCCTAGCTATATTCGTCCATTTTATTTGTTGTATGTATTTTTTTTTGTATTGATGACTGTCTGACTGTTTGTATTTTGGTTGACAAAATATTAAATATCTCTCTCTCTATATATATATATATATATATTCTGCTAATCACCTACAGTTTCACGTTATGTATAATATACTTTATTTTATGGAAACCAAAATACACAAAACCTGATATAATGCTCACAGCTGCACTGCCGTATCGAGGAATCTGACTACTTTTCAGTTTTCACATTTTTTAAGGCAAGGAGAACGGCAAACAAAAATGAACTAAAAATCTTTCGAGGCCACTAATTAACGTTCCTAAATATAGTTTCAAAGCAGTATTATCTCAAGTGACAAATATCTAATCATCCTCCGCCAAATGGCCTGACATTCATGAAGGGCGTCAATCTCTTTGTTCTACGAGCGCTGACACAAACTCAGGCGTCGTTCAGAAATTTTCCACTGTTTATCAACAAAGTCACGTGACCGTGTCGAGCAGCTGATCGTGTTGCGTCAGTCAGACGCAAGGTCGAATCTACGTGAAACGTGAATGAAGTGGAGACAAACAAAGAATCCGTCGCAGATTACGTCAAACGTCTGTCCACAATTTCAATATGATTCGCAACGTTATTGAGATTTTAAACGCTTTGTTACAGAGACAAAGAGTGTAGCCCCAAAACTATCGATGTTATTTGAAGATATAAAAAAGTTAATGGTTGTATTGCGCACGTATTTAGAAACCATTTAATAGTCCATTGAAACTAGGCCACTGAAACTTCATAGAAATAGCCTATAGGATTTGGAACGCAAAGGGATTAGAATTACTCGCAGGTATTAGATTAAACTATCAAACTATATTTTAAGAGTTGTTTCGCGAGTCGCATACCTGTGGGCCGCAGGTTGCATACTCCTGATTTAAGGCACAGGGCAAAAAAAATATTTCGACTGATCACAAATAGGCTAACTGGGTTAGTTAGATGTGGAAACATAAACCTTGTGCTTAGTTATTTTATGGATATTGTTGACAATGTCTGTTACAGACAAAGTTTCTTTGTTTTATTTGTATATATTTGACCCGGAGTTATCTCAAGATATATCGGTCATTGCACTTTGTCGAAACTACCCTCAACATTACTATATCAATCAATTTATTTGGACTTCTACATTCTACAATAATGGAATCATTTGTTTTTTATCACCACACAATTTCGTATTTCACGTGACTGCAATAGATTTCAATCATATTCAAAGTTGTGGAGTTAACATCGAGAAACCTGGCAGGTTATACATAAAAGGAAGTTAATAGCGCGAAGTCCCACCGCCCAACGCGTTATAGACTTCTCAGCTTCTTGTAGAGTAGAGCCTCATCATAAGTACTAAGTCGCTTATAATCTACAATGTTTTTAGATTGCCTCATTACTTCTCTCACAGCTCAAATAAGAACTCGTATTTTTCACGACGCGTGTCCACTTAGCAAGCGACTCTCCTGTTATACGCTACATTGGAGGTACTATTAACGTGGCGCTTTCATCTGTGCAGAGAGAGATTTCGCAACATGTCGAAAGGTGTACCGCGAAGAAATTTTACTTTAAAAAGATTATCGCTACCTGAAAAAACACCGATAAATTTTTAGTCCCGTTTCTAATATGGTAGATTCACTATGGGAATTTCCACCGATGCGTAACGGGAAATACTCAACGCACAAAGAGATGCTTGTGATTTTTCCAGCTGAATAAAATACTTTGTTTCGCCACCATACTCATCACATATATTCACTGAAATATCACAACAAGTGTCAAAGCAAAATAGCTCTCAACGGCACCTTCGACATCCCCGAAATGTAAACAGTTAACCTATATCTTCTAAATAACGCCACTGTTTGTAGCAATGAGCTGTTTTAAATGTCCTATATATAAAACAAAACAGATATTCCAAAATGTTCAACAATTGTTGCCCAGACCTTCCCGCACGCTAAATTTTGATTCCCAGTGCTCATTAAACAGATCTTAACACGGTATTGCGTCACTATAAAGTTTCCAATCGTCGTACTCGTCTGGACACGCTGTCTGTTTGCCCTCTAATCAGTGATTCTCTACCGCCGTCCGTGTCGCTTTTGTGTCAGTCCTCGAATGGACTCGACTAGCCGCCAGAGAGTCCTAAATTGAAGTTCGGGAAAAAATTACAGGTCTTTTGAAGGAGAAAAACATTCAAGTTAAATTACGATTTACCACGCCAGTGAATGCTGTATATTGTAATGTATCGAATGCTGTATTGTTTGTGACAGTGATAATCGTAATAGGTTATGATGTGAATGTTCTCAAATACGTGATTGAATTCTACCTAATAAGCTGTAAAAAGTGCGGCATGCAATAGGCCTACATAGGAGAAACGGGAAGACATCTAAAATATAGAATAACTGAACATATCAGAAGTATTAAAACCCAAAACAAAGATCTAGTTGTAGGTGCCCATTTCAGCCAACCGTGACATTCACTTAAAGACTTCAGTGTCATTGGCATTAAAAAATTATTTTATGACGATATGACTTGCCCAAAGGTGGCGCCTCTCGCTAACCAGTTTTGGTTTTCGGCTTCTCCTTTTACCCTGGAATGCGATTTGTTTTTTCATTTTCTTTAATTATGGTGTATGATAGTTCGTACTTTCAGCATGGTGAAAAAATAAATTACTGATTACCTATATAGAGTAACCTCACAGTGTCAATGTTACTTATATTTTCCGATTTAAAACAGCCGTCCATATAAAATTTAATATGACTCGGGACCCGATTCTTGACACCAAAGACGCAACTCCGTTTGGTTCCTCTTGACAGCAGTGAATCGACCTGTGGCTCGGGACCTGACCCTCAAAAATTGCTGCGACTCGGATTTAAGTCGGGACTCAACGTGCAGGGACTTCTACCCCTGCAATCTTAACATACAATGACTGTTACAAATTTATCCTACCAATGAATATTGAGAAGGATTTGCAATTTAGTTTGAAGCGAAAACTTGTTTATCTTTAACCTATATGCGTATTTAATATCGAGCGAATTAGAATTTTCCTCCAAATACATTAAACACTCTCATAACTTCGAAGTTTGTTTTCTTTAAATTGTTTTTCAAATAATGCTGCACCATAATCTTCAACGCGTTTCATGCTTGGCCATTAGGCATTGACATCGCTTTCTCTTCGCAGCTGCTCGCACGGATGATTCCACACGCAAAACAAAGGGATTATATCAAAACGCAGCACATAATTTGGAGACGTTTCTGAAACGTCATCGTTGCACACGTCGAATACAGTATTCTGATTTTACATTAATTCTCCTCGCCTAGGTGTATAACTGCCATGTTGGAACCATTTTCGGTGTTGTTGTTTTTTGTCTACAAGCATACACTGCGCATAAACATCTTATTGCTTAGTTTTTGTAAAATTTTGTTCCTCGGCAGTTTCAGAAATGCGTTATATACTACCACAAATCTGTTTCCCCGAAATCACACTGTCAGTGATCGGAAACTGCTCCCCAAGTCGGAAGGACCGAAGAAATTAACTTAAAAAGTTTGGTATTGTGATGAAAACCACTCAAACAATAATGAAAGTAGAGATTGTAAAATAAGACATTGATTCTCGGTCGAGGAAGAAGAAGTCTAGCACGCAAGCCCAAGCTAGGGTTTCTCAATTCTCACGATTCGAACAATTTTCTGTATGCCGAACTAGTCCGGCGGATAAGTGGCCTGTTTGGGCCCAACCTTGTTTTTAGACAAAAAAAAGATTATTTGTGATTATTCATCTTGGGGTCATTGCCCATCATTTCTACATGCGGGGGGAGTTTGCAGCCTTGAGCAATTTTTTTACGGCTCGATATTTGTATCAGTGTTTTTCGTCAAATCTGTGCATCATAATGGCGCACAACCTGAACCCTAACCCGGTGCACATACTATGTTCAGGTTGTGCGCCATCTTGGTGCACCATAACATAAACTAAAATAGGCGACCGTGCTTCGCTTGCCTGTTGTCATGCCTTTTCTCGAATTCAGCTACAACAAAAATTCCAGAAACGGGTTTAGATTTTGTGATTTCATTAATAAATGCCAAGTGGTAAAATGCCAAGTTATTCCAACAACATGATCATATTTTGCAACTTACAACCAATATTTTGTATGTAAATTTGTTTGATAGAGCCCCAAAAGATCTAACTACAAATATCAAAAATGTGAGGCCAAAAAAGTTACACTACAACATGGTCAAATGTGCTGTATTTACGACAGATAACAGGTTTACCAAAAAGCTTTACATACAAAATGGTAAAATAAATATCAATCCAGCAATATCTCCTTAGGACATGGTGATATGCATCTGTTGATGATTTTATGTGTTTGTTTCGAAAGTTTAATGACAGAATCAATTATGGTTGTTGGGGATGTTTCAAAACAAGGTTGAATGGAAAACAGTTTTCACAAAATGTCAAGGTTTGAGAGTAGTAGAGAAGTAGAAAAAATACTCCCATGTTTTCTTCATTTGATACCCATGCCACAGAACTTCTCCGATAAATATACGCAGCAAATGCGAGAGGCAGAAATGCCAAGATATAATTTCATGCATTGCAAACCAATATTAGCGATTCTTAGATATATTCGCGGATTCCCATCTGAACTGCGTGGAATAGATTATACCGATCTACACACTTGAAAAACTATGTAAGATGAGCGTCATATTATCGAATATCAGTAAAGGAATAGTGTAATGGGAAAAAACATATAAGGCGTAACTTTCAGTAATAGGCAATCAAATAATCTTATTGTAGAATATATATTTAAAAACATTTCGTCACACCAACCGCAGTCCGAAACTTTTTATCTCTGGCTGAGATACCAATTGGAACTCATGTAAACTGGTAAGAGGCAGGTTTCACATTGAAACGCCACGGGACGGAGAAGATAATATGAGTATCCATCATCCAACTGTCATTTGAGTGGGTACTGCTTTTTTTATTGCAGATAATACTGATCTTTTTGTATTAAAGATTTATTGGCATCACCGATTTATGAATGTCAAATAATAGATATCAATAAACCAGTTGAAAACCAACACGCAATATTACAAAACTTAACTACTTCCAACACGCGGTTTAAATGAATGTGACTGTATAATTCGGCATTGTAGAAAAGCTAAAACTATTATTCGTTAAAACAGCATACAATTCTATGGGATGAAATCATACATAAAAGCTCGTCAAAAACCTGTAGGTCAATAAACAAGTGGAACTTGATGCAAGTGCGCAAAAAAGTGCGCGTTACCACGTACAACCGAAGCACGCAGGAAAATGTGTGTGATGTACTAGTGATCGAAATGTTTGACTCAACTATGTTGGCATAACAGGTGCACGCACATCTCGGTTTCGGATACGCAATATCTATTAATTTGGCCAAAGTCAATGATGAACCTGAAAGGTTCCGGTTTTTCCAAACGAAAACTCGTTACAAATCGTTAGATACCAGTGGATGGTTTTACATGGCCTTGTTCGGAGCGAAAGTTCGAAGCGAAAGGTCGAATATTCCAATCCATTTCAACTAGTAAAATATTTCCTGAGTCCCGAAGGCTTAAGCAGGAAAACGAAATGCCCGCGGCAAGACAAATGTATTTTAAAGAGTGCAAAAGAAAATGGCTAGAATATGCTGTCGATGGATCTTGGCTTATATTATTGAAGTTAACTACCATTTAATGTACTAAAAAAACGGTAGTTATGAAATATTTGTTTTTAACAAAAAGGTGCTCCCGAAGTATCCGTACCAAGAAGTCGAAATGATTATTTGAATGAGCCACCAACCTCATTTCCAAGCACACACAATTACAAGTTTTGTCTCAAATCACTCTCAACATAACAGTAGGAAATGCTTTCCTGCATCTCAAATAAACCAAGAACGCCTGAAATTAAATATAAAATTTTGGAATGAAGTTATGACGAATGCAAAGAATTCAATATTTTTATTACCATTTCATTTTTGTTGTTTTCTGTTTTGGAATCTTATTTTTTTCGAAATATTACCAAACTATACATTTATATTATTCATATGATTTTATTTTTTCTCAAAACACTTACAAACACAGTAATAAATGCAACATGATAAAACAACAAACACATAATATACACTATTATCATCAGGTGTCTCAGATACTTTTATCAATTTTTGCTGAAAGCTGTTTCAAAAAAATAAGTGGAAAAGCCAATTAAAAAATAAAAAAGCTCCATTGAAATTTGATTCAGTCAGGCCTGGATGGCCAGTCAGTAGCAAATAATTATGTCAGATAGGTTGCATAATTGAACGACACAAATAACAGCACAGTTTTAAGAAAAGATTTGCAGATCAAAAATTAGATAAATCAATTCAATCCAATAAATTCAATTTACAAACAGATGAATTTGAGGAAAATAAAAAACTTGTGCTCAAAAATCACTGTTTCGACTAAACATTTTTTTAACAATAATATCAACATTAAACCAGCAGCCTATTTTGAAAATGGCATGATATTTAAGTTTCTCAAGAAATGTTCTTGCTTGCATAAAAATATGTAATAATGTTTCAAAAACTGATAATTCAAATGCCGGAATTTCAATTCGAACACTTGAAATTTATTTAATTTCGAGGCATTTTGGATCACTGCATCCAATAACTAGAATTTTAATACAAGATAAAAAAAAAGGCGCTCCAGAAGTATGTTTACCAATATGGAGGTAACTAATTTTGTTCGCCTACTTTACATCAAGTTGTGTGAAGGGACGGAAGTCTATGGGCAGGGGGTATATTCACTTGCCTATCACAGACAGTCCCCAAGCTCGTAATAGAACTAAAATAGGGGAAATTGGAATAAAATTATGGCCATTTCTTCTAACCTGGTACACACACTACAGTAGTACCAAAAACAATGCTGGGTTTAACATATGTCCGTTCAGTTATTCAACTTTCTTTTTTTGCTTCTTTCCTTTCTTTTTAGACTCTTCATACAGTGTGTTAAGACAAAAGTCCCTGATGACATTTTCTTCAGTGAAAGAATACTTGATAAACTTATTATTCTTTCCAATCATTGGTCGCCAGTTTACTGGTTTGAAATCTTTAAATACAATGAGTGTTGGAAGTTGACGGCTCATTGAAGATGTGCTGACGCCATATTTTGTAGCTGCATCAGGATAACGTCCAACATCAATTTTTGCAAATCTGAGAAAGTCTGTTGTATATTCTTTAGCAAGACTTGCTATAACAGGGGCAACTGAGTGACACTGAGGTGACCATGTTGTGAAAAATTCAATCACCCAAACAACTTTTGAGTCCTCTCTCATAACTTGTTCAATCGTGTTATCATCGACATGTAATATTTCATCAGATTCTTCAATGAAAACGTCAGGTAAAATCCATAATCTTATGAAACACAACAGTACATATACAAATCCAAATCTTGGATCAATTCGAAAGAATAATACTGTGTTAACAATTTTGGAATATGTCAAAAATGTTTCTACCATTTGTTCCAGCGATACTGCAGATCTGTTCTTAATCATCACGACACACATCAGACACATGTACAATTCTCCTTCTTTCCATTGGAACTCACAAGAATCCTCATCCTTATCAGATGGTAATCGTGAGCATACGGGTGGGAACTTTCGGAAGATTAGAAAAAGAGAGCTGAGGAATGCACTGGTTATTAGACCAGGCGTAATCAAATGCTTTATTGACTTGTAATTTCTCAAAAGTAGGAGTAGTGGGGCAATTATCGCCATACTTTTTTATTCCTGTAAATCATAATTACAAATACTTATATTAGCTTTATTAAAGGAACCATATATGAAAAGTAGACGAGTACTTCTTAAAGCCAATAATAACAAAAGATAGTGTTGGTCTATCTTGTCACAAACTGCAGAATTCAGGAATTGGGAATTAAATTACCACAGAAACTGTCTAAAGAAATAAAGTACGGAAAAAAATAAAGGAATAAACTGAATTCATGTTTAGCTAATTCTCATGCCATAATATTCTCCGTGTTCTTGGCAACATAGATCAGATGGGGCTCCCGAAGTATGCAAACCAAGATGGCGGACATCGGAATGTAATATGTGTACTAGGTTAGGGTTAGGCCATGATTTTTGGTATAATACGGGAGGCTCTTGGCTAGTCTTCGAACTGATAATAGGACTAAAATAAGGAAAATTGGAAAAAAATTATCGCCTAACCCTAACCTGTTACCCATGTTACGTTCCGATGTCCGCCATCTTGGTTCGCACACTTCGGGAGCACCGATCAGATAATGAAAAGCTGAAACATCGAGCTTACAAACCAGCAAACTGAGTTTACTACAAAAGGCAGGAGCTACAACTTAAACTGCTGAACTGGCTGAATGTTTCATGTGTAAATGTGATTATCAAATCAACTTTTTAAATTCAGACATTTCAATAATAATCACGGAGGATATCAATACCTGAATACTGTACCGGTACCGGTATCGACTGTGATACGAATTGCCAAATTGGATAGGCATGTAGACAGATGTTACAGTGATAATGGTACGTCGGTGGCTATTAAACCTTTCAATTTAACAACAAACTTAGAATTTTCCGTGTGCAATTTTTTCCCATGAAAACAAGGTAAAATTCATAAAGAATCAAATATCACTTTATCAGTGGATTTTGAAATTGCAAGGACAGTGTGACAGTCCACGAGGGAACAGGATTTTCAACAACAAATTGTGAGGGGTTTCTTCTTCATAAGACAGTCATAATCTAGCCCATGTTTACTTTTGATGCTACAGAATCACATACCACTAAACACAAATGTTGGTCATATTATACCGGTATGCCTATCGACCATGCTGCCATAGCTGACCTCTAAGAACTGAACCAGCAAATAGAACATCAACATCGATTTTCATTGAGGCTACGTACTGCCGCACGTGGATAGTATTTTACACGGCAACCCATAATATATGAGTGTTTATCCTTAGACACGAGCATCGACTTCCTTGTCTATTTCCGCGAGAATGCCTAATCACCAATAATTTAACAATAAATTAATCAAAGTTGACAACTATTGAAATGCGTGCAGCTGCTCAGACGCTTTTTCACTCTGATAGATAATACATCTAACCATCAAAAAAGTTATAGATTTCTCATCCCTGTTACCTTGTTTATCTCTATTTTTTAGAAAAATTACGAGTATAAAACGCATTTGTCTAGTTTTAAATTATTGGCGTCTAAAATACTCGAATAAACTTCTTGTCAAACCTCAATTTATTCATGAAATTAAACCGATGATTAGACATAATAACCACTCCCTCCCACACCTCCCACAATACCACTCCCTTCGTGAGTGACTCTTGGCTCTTAAACTACGGGACTCTGTAATATAAATCTTTTGGAGCAATTTTGTTCACCAACAAATCATCGCCATCTGTTCGCAGTTTGATATACTCAATCAATGCGCTAATCCGTATTGATCTTCGATTAAAATAGACAATGAAGTCTCCCGTTGATGTTGGACCCCCTGCTAGTTTGCGTGCCTTGTTCAAAAAGCAAATTAGCGCTTCAGATTAAAATCTCAACTTCATTCTCTGTATTCTCGCTTTAAATTGAGTTAAATGTTTATCTCAAAATCTATATCTGCTATTTCTCAGCTTCGCTGGCGTTATTGTTAACGGAGGTCATGGAATTTGTAGGTCTACTCTAAGGAAGCCTATGTAAAGGTTTATAAATCAAAGGTGCAAATTTATAAGTGGTCGAATTCGCTGAAATGGGACCAAACATCAATGATTGAATTTCGCACCCTAGTCCCATATTGGGAAAACAGCCAAAATCAACCCAACGCACTTATTAGTAATGTAGCCTACTATATATAATTACACATCCGTTTAATAATTTTTGTTGATTTTTCAACGTCTTACCGCGTAATTGATGTTTCCCCGAACCTTGACTGCATGAAAATTCGCCCTGTGATTTGCTGTTTGAGTGTTTTATCGAGTAAAAAATCAGTAAATTTCTTCAAAAGCACAATTTTGTTTCAAAATATTCAAGCTAATGTGACGTAAATTTCTTCATTAAGCGCTTTTGGTGAACGAAACTAAAGTGAAACTTCCCCGATCACAAAATAAACGTTGGGTAATTTAATATATATATGTATAAACAGGGAGTCAAAAACTACAAAAACTAGTCACTATTCACAACCATGCTCAAAAATTTGAATGAGCGGCTATGAAATTTTAATTGGTGCGTCGACATTATGTTGTCACTGATTGGCAAGTATTACAGAGATAAACAATATGATCGAAAAAACATACACAACGCCCGAGACCGCGAGCTCTTTTATAAATCGGATCCGCTAGTACGCGCTGGAGAGTTTTTTCTTTGTTACATATGAGCATCTTTAATCGTATGTCATTCTCCAATAAAATCGCGTTGTAAGGAAGCGTGTTCTTTGTTCACATGGTTATTCTGTGTATCCGAATATGGTAACCACAATTTCCTGAATCTGAAACATGAACTTTATCTTATGGAATATGTCCGCAGTCACAGGAAAATGTATGGTGGTACATGAGAACTAACAGCTTCTATATACTTAATTAGGGAATCAAGATTTTTTTTCCAACATTTGGCCTTTCGATTTAAGTTCTTCCTCTGGATGTGATTAAATGCGATATGACCGATTGACACTATTTCAACTAGACATACTTTATTTCTTTGTAATACAACTATTTGTTGGATTTACATGGTTTTGTAATAGAATTGCTTTTGTTGTAGAAAAGCCAAAGTGCCTTTTTTCAATAATTTAGAGCCGTGTTTTTTTTCTTACCGACTTTTAAATGCGCATCGCACGTAAAAAGATGCAAGTATTAGGATATATATACATACTACTAAAATTTCATAATACTTTGCGGCATTGGCTGAAATGTTGTTTCGCATTCCGTCTCCTGCACTAAATACTTTTGAATTTCTGCCAAACCGTATATTCTTGAACTTCACGATAATTAATTCTCGTTGATATCATGCAGTCTTTGATCAACGGGTCGGCAAAATGGCAAAGAGAAAGGTTAAACCACGAATGAGATTCTATTCCCATTCAATGTCATAAATTTCGATATCTGCAAGGCACTGAAGGCAGTACGTTCATATATTTTGAACGATTACGAAGTTGTTGAAAGAAAGATCTTTTTACCTGTGAAAGTCTAATTCAAATCCAATGGTACGACTCCGTTGGCCTGATGGTCCTTTTAATGCTTTTGCTTTTTTTGTATAACACACATTCCTAAAACACGAACGCAAATCATAAATTTTGCATTCTTTTTTCACTCTTCTACGTGATTTGGGGAATTATTGTGAATATTATATTATATATTAAATCATAATATACAAATTCTAAAACCATATAATCGCATTCAAACACTGATACACGAAGAATAGGCTGCGCAACAACAACAACAGTTCCCAGTAGTCTCAATACTTTGAATAGCCCATAAAACTGTGGATTTTCTATAATAAGATCTCCATTATTTTTCGTGAATCATGAATGATGAATTATACAAATAAATATAATAATGAAGCATAACATATTCCGAAAAGAAGAATATAATTTTATAACTAGCAACGGATATTTAAAAAATATAACAAGTTAAAATAAGAATACGCAGCACGTGATGTTTAGTAGGAACACAAATCGAACTATTTACAGTTGAATTGTATTTCTTCATTATTTTCCGGTAACATTGCCTATTAAAGTTTGTTGACGGAATCAATCTCAAGGGGCCGTTCAGTTCATCAATGTCACAAATACAGAAAACACGATGTAAATTACGCTTGGTAATAATCTTGAGCAGCTGCACTACGCCAGGTAGTTTCCAATTTATTACTGATAGACTGAATGAAATGTACTGAGATCGAATTTGTTTTTGAGTAGTAATTTTATTGGTATATATATATGAATGTCGATCGAAAATAACTATTCAAATATTCAAGTTCAGCTATGAATCATACTTGTTTGCCCACTCGGGGAAGCAATCTTTTTATAAATTTATTCAACATATGCTTTATAATCAATATACGTGTTTTTGTCTTTTTTAAATTCCCCTCTATTATATCTTTCAGTTTTACGTCGTATCTAATCAGATTATGCATGGAGGTTATTTTTCTTGTTTATTAGCAATAACAGCCGTAATTTTTGATAATATATTTGGTAATATACTGAAATTTAGAAGTAACTACAATTTAATTATGTCAATTCAAGCAGAATTACGCCATGAAAAATATAGGAAGGTGTTGGAACTTGTGATGAATATCGACAAGTGTTTCACCGATTATACGATTAGCAAAAAGTATGTCTAATTTATACATGGCCCAGTATGGGCCTCATTAAACCTATTTTGGCCCTTTCTCAGCGTGAAATATTTTTAGATCAAGTTTAATTTGGGTTAAATTTGGATACAAGAGGATTATTTCGAGATACCGACTTTGAATACTAAAGAAAATGTATTTCAAGCAAGTTACAGTTAAATCTTGGTAATTTTTATTGTTATAATTGTAGGGCTTTTTATGAAACTAAATCTGACCGTTAGACGACGTACTGCTGGCACCAAAATAAATTATGCGCTCCCGCACGGCATATCCGTCTGTCATACGCCCAATTATTAAAGGCGTATGACGTTTATGATGTGAAAGGTGTTTGTTGTTTTTGCCCAGTTACAACATGGACTATAATCAATTATTCAAACGGTTATTACGATCGGACTACCTTAGTTTCAAAGAAACAGCGTGCTGGTAACATCATTATGTATTATTTTAATGTAATACTAATCCTAATGTTGTCAGGTTTAAATTTAGTCAA